TGTTTAATGTTTACCGTGCCTGGCACGTGCTGAGGATTTGCGCATATATAATACATATGTCGCATGCAACTCGGCACAGAATCGATTTATGACGCCCACGATGTGTCGCGTGATAAAACTGCATAATTATGCAGAATTCGTTTATTATCCGCGACTTCCATCCCTCGGTCCATTCGCGGTATTTTCGAACGGTCGCCGTCTAAATCCATCCAAAAATAATGTTGACTAATGCTTCACCAATGAGACATGTTTCCACCAATATAGATTAACTTTAATCTCGGTTCAACTTACTCTTCGTCTTTTTCTAATTCTAAAGATTAGAAAAAAACGAAGAGTAAGTTGAACCGAGTTTAAAGTTAATCTACAGTAGAAATGGATATAAGACTGCACACAAATATCGAGATTCAGTTTTGCAGAAGAAAGAAATTTATGCAAAATAATTGCGGTCTCACGCTGGAACTTGAAATTTTTTTGGCAAAATTGAAAAACGAAAATGTCTTCTTCCTTTCTTATGAAGCAACAGTGTTTTGAAATTGTAAGGATTTAAAATAGCCTAACATAACATTTATGATTGGATTTGCGTTAAACGATTCGCTTTTAATTAAACATTATTTGACAATGCTAAAACTATACTCGAGCTAAAAAATTGACCGTCAAGAATTGATCTTTCGCGAGTTTCTCTAAGTTTCGGTATTACGTGTTGCAAATGTTGGAAATCTACGGAGTCACTCTCGACCGAAATATGAACTCATATAAATTCCTCATGTCTTTTAAAAAATATTTATTAACTTTAATAATAAAAGAATAGAATATTATCTTTGATAATCGTATATGTATTAATAATTTAATTTAATAAAAAAAAATTTTTCTTATTTATTTATGCTACCTTTCTTTCTGGCTTGTTTAAACATAAAAGCATTCTGCAGTAATACCGCAAGATTTTAAACTTGTATTTATTAGTACCTATGCCCTGTACAATTAAGCTGAGAGCGTTGTGTTATGACTGTACATCGAAATTGTAAGTACAATTAAAATAATGCATTTATGTAATATTAACTTAAAAAATTAGCTTACATCTATTATCTGTTTTAGTAACTATATGTTAAAATGAGTTAACGTATAATAGATATAGGCACACAAATTGTGGGGATATTAATAGGACCATCGTCTCTTGGAAGAGCACACTAATAGGGAGTAAAACATTTTTTTTTTTTATTATAAACATTATAAAATATTAACATTTTTAGTTTAAAAAAATATTATAAGAAAAAGAAATACTGCAAACTGATATTGTGATTTCAAGCAGATAAAATTAAGACTACCATAATGAATTCAGTAATGAGCTAACTAGCTCCAAAGGCATACTAATAGAAACAGATACTCTATGTATTTGTCGCGAATGAGAGAAAGGACAATTTGAGAATTTCTACGTAATTCGAGGAGACAGGTTCGTGATATCTAATTTGCATCAGTTTCATGATATACCTAACGTTGCGATCACGTGGTCGAGTGCATGATCGCGACTTGACTAAAGTCTCCTTTTCGTTTGACCTGTTTTCGCGCGGGGTGGTTTCGCAATTTCTCTCTAGTCGTGTTAACCAAAGGACGTGGAAATGCAATCGGCACACACGTATGGACACTCACACGAATAGAAGGACTGGTTAGCCTTAACCGAACCATGTACGAGTTTCCGTCTCTCTCGTGCGTTGCTCTATTCGTTCGCCTCTCGCCGTCATGCAAGGAAAGCGTGTCAATGCCAAGAATCGCGAAGGATGCTTTAGAAAATGCGCGATCAATGAAACAATTATAATACAAATTTTGATCGATGAGAAAAATAAATCTAAAAGAGTTCTCTTAGATAAGAGAAACCTTTATATTCGATCAAAGCAGATCTTATTGTTAGTGCTTAAATATTTCTATGTATATTTATATATATATCTGATTCTGCAAACTGAGTACCGACGTCTTTTTCTTAAAATTATGAGCAGAACCAAAGTGGTAATATCACTTATTCAATTGACAAGCAATTCAATCATTTTTGTGCTAATTAAGCTAATAATTAAATTTATTCTCATTGGTGTTCAAAGAACGATAAATTAATTTAGTGATTAAATATATTATATATTTTGTGATGTGAGGTTTAAGGAAATGTTAATTAAACAATCAGACGTAAGAATAAATATATTTTAAAATTCCAAAAGGGATGATTTTTGTCTCTGTCTGCAATCATATTTTTACTTCTTTCGTCTGTAATCTGAGTTCTCTTTGTTTAGTTCAACTTTTTTTTACTGTTCTAAGTTTTTAAAAAAAATTCAGAATTATTTTTCAACATCTTTATATTACATTATCAAGTAGTCTTTACAATTCAAATGTAAAAATTTTTATTAAATAACAATTAAAATTTGAACAAAAATGAGGGTGAGATTTTGCTTGTGCCAAGAAAGATTTAGATTGCAAACGAAGGATATTATTCATTATACGCATTTCCATGTTTCCATTTTTCTCAAAAAATTAAAACAATTTGTTGTTCAAGTGTCTCATAGGGTACCAAAGACGATACAAAAATTTACATGAATTTATCATTTTCTTCTCTTTTTGTATTTCAGACTTTTCAGTTTGAATCGAGGAAGTCGAGGGGGGTTTGTTTCTGTAATCACGTCCTCGTTTCCATAAAATCTTTTTCCCGCCAGCCATTTCTTCATATTGGGGAACAAATAGTAGTCCGAGGGAGCCAAGTCTGGAGAATAGGGGGGATGTGAGACGAGTTGGAACCCTAATTCCATTAATTTTGCGACCACAACTGCTGAGGTGTGAGCTGGTGCGTTATTGAAAATCACTCGACTTCCTCGATTCAAATGAATGCCAAACACAAACAAATAGACCGATCTGGCTGTAACTTGGTGTGTGTTCCTCCAAGAGATGCTACTAACTAAATCTAACCTTGATACGCGCCAGTAGTGCCATCAGCAGTGACTTTGCACGGACTTTTCGAACGACCCTCGTAAACCCCTATTGTGTTCGAAGGGATGTAATTAAAAATGTTTGTTTACGACGCCTAGCTGCGAGATAGATTATATTTAGTATTGCAGTGCTAGGTATTTAATAATATGGCTATTTTCGGATCCGTTATTCTGAACAAGGTGAACAAATTAATCGGATAAAAATAAGAAACAATTAACTTTATTAATAATCTCGCTGCTCACATGTATTCTTTGAATATTATTATTCTTTGTATATATTTATTATATATTATTATGCTCGTATTGTTTGTATTCTTTGAATATTAGATATTATGCTCGTAATTGTCATTGCAAGATTTCTTACTTGAAACTTAGCAAATCGAAAGCAAGAAATTTGCTTTAAAAAAATTATACATGTATATACTGTATGTATATACATACAGTATAGAATTATTACATTTATATATATATTTATTTTTTCAAAGCAATAATTTTATTATATACGAACATATATATATATATATGTTTATATATTGTATTTTACAAATGTCTAAAAAATGTCGGTGTGAATTTAACATCCCTGTTGCGGGATTCTGTAAACATTTTATCGTGTTAAATTCATACTGTGTCGGTGTTAATTTAACAG